GGAGGGGGGGGATGAACATGCAGAATCTGTAGGGCAACTCACCAACGTCGACAGTTGGACGGCGAAAATCCACGACGAGACGGTCCACTGGCCAGGCTGGCAATACTCCAACGACAGAGGGTTCTTCGGGGCTCACGTCGTGTTCATCTGTGAAGGCTTCCGCGCCGATTTCATCGGGTTTATCGGTGACTATCTCGTCAGGCAGGGGTAAACCCTCAACATAACTACTGCTACTGGATACATTTAGGACACTACCCAGCAGTTCATCGTCATCACAGAGATCGTTGAAACCGATCGGGACGAAGTCATCGGTTCCGTTAAGCTAGCAGCGGATAAAAGCAAAATGAACCAATGTAAGGCACTCAAGTTTAGACGTGAGGGAGTAGGTCTTATTTATCCACCGTATCCGTATGCATAAGCTGCAAAACTATAATTGATAGGGGGTTTTAAGTCAGATAACAGAAAAAATTAAGGAATTCAGAAATCCAAAAGGGAATTTTTGTGTGAGGGAAGCTAAATGTCGCCCCCCTTCCCTCTGTATTACCATCGAGTTTTTAATTACCTTGGCTCGACATAAGGTGCAAAAGACGCAAATTGAGTCATCGTCTGGTCGAGATTTAAATTTGCGCGAACTTTCACAGGCTTATCTAACAATTGCAGAGATAACTAGCGTTCCAGAGATCGCGCCTTCTCTCCTTTACAACAAGAACCTGGGGCATGCATGCATTACACATATGTACTTAAATTCGCTTCTATTCGACAGATATAACTAAAAACATGCTACTGTCTTGATTTCAATAGAACGTTTCCGAACATTAAAGTTGACTCAGTTGACAACTTCAAAGTGTAAATGCAGGGGACGTATTCAGTGTCGGTATCCGTTTATTGAGGGAGAGATAGGCGAATGCCTTTGAGCTCCCTATTGGTAAAAAGCGGCTAAAAATGCATGGAGGGAAAAGAAAAAGGAAAAAAAATGCTTCATTTACATGCTTGCAAGCGAAGGACGAAAAGGTGGTGAAGTCAAAATAGTAATAAAACATAGCTACTGACGTAGCAGGGGTAGTGTAATAAGTATGTGTAATGCTCTCACTCGTGAGTTAGATTTACACTGGTGAATAAAATGTTTGGTGCATGTCCACTTTGGCCTCAAATATGATTACACAAGTGGAGAGGACAACCTTTTCAGGAAGAGCATTCCACGCTGTATTGTGTGCTGTTAGTTCGTAAAAACCTCACCTTTTTGCCGTTCATATTTAATTGCTATCTTTAAGCATTTTGCACACAAATACGACTTGTTTGCAACTTAACTACTTGTTATGCATACTTGTACTGTTTCAATGGAGCTTCTAAGGGCTTCTGTAATTTACTCCGAATATACTGACTAAGG